ACTGGAAGTGAGTTTAACATAGGTGGAGTTTGAGGTTCACAGGTCATCAAATTGGACATGTTTACTAAGTCTGTCATATGAGGTTGAATCACTGAGGGGAAAGCAAAACGAGAGAGTCGAAAACAACAATTAGCCCTTTAATGCAAGTGATCCATGTCCTTGTAAGTTCAGTATCAAGATTCACAGGTATTCACAGGCTCTTAACAGAAGTCCCTTGGGGCCAACATCAAGGAGAAGAGGGACAAGACCAAGGCAGCCATTCTTTTAAAAAATGTTTTATTGTTGTATGATTGCTTTACAGTGTCGTGTTAGTTACTGCAGTACAACAAAATGAATCAGCTCTATGAGTACATATATCCCCTCTTTTTTGTGTTTCCTCCCCTTCTAGGTCACCAGACAGCACTGAATAGCATTCCCAGTGCCATGCAGTCACTTCTTATTTGTTATCTATCTTATGCGTAGTAGTGTATATATGTCACTCCCAAATGCCCAACCCATCCCATCCTTCCTTTCCCCGTGTGGTGTCCATATCTTCGTTCTCTACGTCTGTGTATCTACTTCTGCTTTGCAAATAAGATCATCTGTACTATTTTCCTAGATTCCACACACATGAGTTAGTATATATAATATTTGCTTTTCTCTTTATGACTTACTTCACTCTCTTCATACCCCCTTGGCCTTGGTTCTACAAGGATACAGTGTTTGGGACCTGCACTGTGCTTGCACAGAGAAAGTTCTCTTCCTTTTCCTTGAGGCCACAGTCTAGCTCGAGGAGACAAAGTTAGTGAGAGACAAGATAAGGCCTCCTGGCTCAGCTCAGCTCCCAGTATACACACCAGAGGGACAAGGTGGCCCACAGCCTGTATCAGCATAAATACAAATGGGCTTAAATAGATCTTTTACCTAAAATAAATGTCAAATAGTATGCAAATAAAAGTATATTTTTGTCAGAAAGACCTTGGGCAAGGCAGAACACAAATGTTTATTTAAAAGAATTTTTAAACTCTGATTCAGGCTAGGAAAGTCAGGCCAGTCGCTGAATCCCATGGGACAAGCATATGCGAGGGCCTCCACCCAGCAAGTCAGCTTTTAATGGTGTGTTTACAAAACCACGTGTCCTCAACTAGAACTAAGAAAAACTCCCAAAACATATCAATTCCAAGTGCATGACCCAGGTCTAAATAAAGAAGAGAGGAAATGCTTGGTCATGTATATACATCAATTTCATAGACCTTTCCAGTTGCAATACCAACAATACCTAAAATTGAGATTGTATTTTTCAATGTTCACTTATTTGTTTAAACATTCTTACTTCCCTTAATTATAATGGGAAAAAATGCAATCCACTGTTAGAATATAAGGGACAAGAAAGAAAGAAAGCAATCATACAGATATGTGTAGTTTGTTCATCTTACAGATAAGAAAACTGAGGGAGATGAAATGAGTGTCCAAGTTCAATGAAGAGACACAAGACTGGACTGGATTAGACTAGAATGGAAGCCTTCCCAGAACCCAACTCATGAGCTTTCCCCCACAAAATCGTTGCCTCTCAGGAAGAAGAGACTCAGAAGAAAACATTAAGAGGTATTCCCTACTCTAGGGTTTGACAGATAACCTCTGATGGAAAGTTCCTTCTGTGTTTTGAGTTAAGAGAAATAAGATGGATAGCATAGGGAAAGAGGAGAGTCAAGGCTAATCACTTTGCTGCTTTTGAGAAGATCTGCTTAGAATGTTCAATCTCTATTTCAGAATTTTGGCAGTGAAAACCTGTGAAACAAGGTACTTTCTGGTAAAGAATGGACTAGAAGAGGCAAAAAACGGACACAGAAAAGTGAAAAAATTTCCCAGTAGTTCACATCTCATCATCCCATGAAAATACCCTAGACATAACCTACACTTTTCTTTCCTACAACTACACAATAGGTTTCTGTTTGCTTCTGTTCAGCTTTTTTTTTTTCCTGCTATAAGGAGGCTTAGCACTTCTTATCTGAGAGTTGCCAAATGATGTTCTACGCAGAATGTCAGTTTGACATCTGGAGGATGAAGGATGAAGAGACCCCAGAGGAATATCCAAGAGACTAGAGAAATGAAGACCCAATGGCTCTGGGAAGAGGAAGGGGTCATTAGGCAGAGGCAGAGGGACAAAGTTACACTCACCTTGCAGTTTGCCCCATAAACCATCTCTGAGATATGAAAATAGAAGTGTCACTCTGAGATAGCTTGTAGGTTTCTGGAAATAATCAAGGCTCTATTGAAGTGTAAGTGAATATGACTAGATCCTGGAAATAATGAATTTAGGAACTCCAGAAGTGAAAACAAAAGGCAAAGAATGAAATCCACCTCCTTCAAGACATAATGCTTTTATCAATAAATCAAAATTATTCCCGGACTTCCCAGGTGCCTCAGTGCTAAAGAATCGGCCTGCCAATGCAGGAGACTCAGATTTGATCCCTAGGTCAGGAATATCCCCTGGAAGAGGAAATAGCAACCTACTCCAGTATTCTGGCTGGGAAATCCCATGACAGAGAAGTCTGGTGTGCTATGGCCTGTGGGATCGCAGAAGAGTCGGACACAACTGAACACACATGCAGAAAATTTTTGCCACATAATTGTTCAAAGGCAAATCAAGTTCAAAACAGATATTCTAAGTTCATGGCATGTATCAGCAACAGGACTCCCTTAAAGAGGAGGTTAACTGAGTGTGAATGGAAGCTAGTCAATATGTTCTCTATTTTCAAGAAACTTGTTTCTCGACTTGCAACTATTAGTTTTTAGAGTAAACATGTTTACTTTAAAAAGTCATAGAAAGGAGCTAATCTCAAACAGTTTCCCATCAATGTGATCTTTTCAGATCTTAGCCTCAAGCAGTGTTCTCTAAAATGAGATTATAGCACAGTTTTACAGAATAGAGTTCTTGAAATAACTTTAATAAAGCATATATTCTCAAATGATGCAAAGAGGCGTTGTCAATAGAAGGAGGCTCTAAACTGAGAAAGCTACATTTTATAAACCAGCTAATGTGTGATTGATCTGAGTTCCACTGTTAGGGTTTAAATGGAACTCCCCTCTGTCATTCACATCCTAACCGTAACCTTTCTTCAGCTTGAACATGGGACCTGTAGGGATTTGAGCTACCACACCCCTCTCTCTGTGTACATAAAATACTTTAGGAGAGCTCTTTAGAACCTGTCTACTCTGAGACCCTTAAGTCCACTCTGAAGACAAGAGGTTTAACTTGGATGGATGTTTGTCATTGAGAATGGCTCATAAATCATCGTCCGTTGAGCCTCTTTAGAGGGTGAAAAGACATCTGAAATAGCATCCTGCATTCAGAAGGTCTAGAAAGACACCCAGGAAGAGTGATTCTCTCTAAGCAGTTGAACTTAGTCATTAGCCATCAAGAGTGTCCCTGGTGGCTCAGTAAGTAAAAAATCTGCCTGCAATGTGAGAGACCTGGGTTTGATCCCTGGGTTGGGAAGATCCCTTGGAGAAGGGCTTGGCAACCCACTCCAGTATTCTTGCCTGGAGAATCCCCATGGACAGAGGAGCCTGGCGGGCTGCAGTCTATGGAGTCACAAAGAGCCAGACACGACTGAATGACTAAGCACAGCACATAAGCCTTCAAATCCAAATGGGTTTGGTGTTCTGGATTTCAAATCCCTTCTCTTCTAACACAGATAGAAATAATACAAAAAAATTTACCTATTTTGCTGCAAATAAAATAAATAAAATGCATCAAGTAAAAACTAATGATGAAGAAAATAATAATTAAAAAACTAGCTATTGCAACAATCAAACCCCAACAAACCACACAGCTGTGCCCCTGCCTTCAGCACATACAATCCTTAAATGATTGCATTCAACTTATGTGCTCATTTTAAAGTTTTATTGCCAAAATGTTCCCAGAAAGGTATTGTGCTGTCTGGCCTTGTGATGATCAGAGATACCAATGTGAGTTGTTGCTTTTTTTTTTTTAATCTTTTGGATCATATCAATGTACATGGTTTTCAGTCTTGCTTCCTGCATTTGTTTTTTCCCCTCTAGGACCAATTCTGGGGATCTCAAGAGAATGAAAGAAACCACTGTGACCAAGCTGGAATGCATGAAAACCATACCACCTCCTCACAGAGGATGAGGAACGGGTCCCACGACTCTGTACTTGCCCCGGTCTTCTCCCCTCCCCTCCAGCTACACGTCCACTCTGCACCCTCATTGCTACCCAGGCCAACTCTACCCTAGCTCCCTGGCCAAAGGGAAGATGGCTATATCTCCTGGGGCCATGATGTGAGGCCTGAGAGGAAGTGTTGTCTTGGGGAAATAGCAAGATTGGGTGACTACCTTAAAGTCAATACTATTTATCTTCACCTCTTGTCCTGTGGGCTGACAAAGGCGCACCACTGTTAGGCCCAACCCCCCGGCACAGCTGCAATAGAAAGAAGGCAGGGACTTGTACTTTCAAGTGTCAGACCCTTTGTGCCTGACTACTAGTTTATGAGGCTGATGTCAAGCATGGCAGTCAATGAAGTCTTTGTCCTAGGTGTACAGGGCAGGACAGTGGAAAAACTGCCCCCTCTTATATCCCAGGCTCATCCATCTTCCCCTCACCCTGGTTCTCAACTTCTCTGTCTCTTGAGCCGACAGAGAGAGGATCCCTCCTGGGTTAATGTACTGGAAAATTGCTCTGCATGTTTATGAGGGGGTCCCTTCCAAATGAAAGAAAAAAGGAAAGGGAAAAAAAACGGGGAAGAAGAGTCGTTTTTTCCCACTGAACTCATTGGCCTTATGCATGTGGGTCTGACCCTGATTAAGAAAATCTCAATGCCCTGCTAGGAGCTTTATTGTCCAGTTTGGCAGAACGCACTTCCGATTGAATTTTTTTTTTATTATTTATAATCACAAAGTGGTTTTGAACAGCGACTCCCATCACCCATCCCACCACCACCACTACACACACACACACACACACACACACACACACACACACACATCTAAGCCCTTACCTTTAAAGAGGCCCCATCCACTCACATCCAGTTTTCCTCAGAGCAATCTATCCTCCTCTTTAAAGCTGGTTTCCCCAAGGCAATTCCTTATAAATAGCAAACATGTTGTTTTCATACAGTTACATGGAAGTTGGATTGTGTGAACTTTGCCATGGACTTGGACCCCAGAGGTGGCTGCCTTCCATGAAATCACATTTGCTTATTTTAACTTTCTTTTTTTTTTTAGCTAAAAATAATATTCTCTATCTCCAACCTCTTCCTTCAGTCCCAAATATTATTCCTCCATGCAAGGTTTGAGGCTAAAACTAAATGTCATGTAAGTGGTTAAGGCATCTACTATGTATCAATTATGTATGCTCCATCTACAGCGGGCCAAGAGATTTTTACAAAACTAACCTGAGACCTTCCAGAAACTTCTGAACAAAAATCATGGAAATTGGAAACACAAGATTATAGATAATTGTTTCCTCTAGAAGCCAGCAGGCACACAGCAAGTGTTTTTTGTTGTTGTTGTTGTTGTTTGTTTGTTTCAGAAAATGAAGAAAAAAGAACTTAGCAGCTCAAGTGCGTCTTCTTTCTTCAGCCTGATTTTCAGAAATTGCTTTATGTTTCCATGGATTATTAGTTTGGCCAGAGAAATTGGAGATGGGGAAATATTTGCACGTAAAAGCTGTAATTCATTGGTGACAGAAGGAAATTTTTTTTTTTAGGGAAATTTTTGGAAAAGTCACAAAAGTGACTCAAATTTAAAAAGTTAATCAAAGAGAAGAATTACTATTCCACCCTCAACCCCCACTCCAACGGTGGGTTCTGTCCTGGTTTTGAGTTGATGACACCAACCTTGAGGCAATCCTACATTAAAGTTAGAATTCCCTGGTAACTGAAGGATCAAACAACCTTCCCTGTTAGGAAGTTTTTTGCAGGAGGTGACAGAACACAATTACAACCAATTTTTTTTATTCTATGTATGATGTCCAAAACCGAGAAGTTTCTATGAAACAATTCGATTCCAGCATGTGAGGAATTTCCTGGGTTGTTGATTTTTTTTTCTCTCTCTCTTTCTCACTGTATATTTTTTACCAAGTTCCCCTCTGATTGAAACCTAACTTTCTTTTCTGCAACTTCCAATGCTCTACCATTGACAACAACAGGGCTCATTTAAATATTTTGCAAGATGACAAAAAGAAAAGGGGGAAAGCTGACAAATCAGGCTCAGGAAAGGGGGTAGGCATTAAGTCTAACACAAACATTAATAGGCACCCCTAATCTCTTCTCCCGCCTCCTTTGATTGAAGGAGGTCAGAGCGCCTGGTCCCCACGCCTGCTCCCTCAAGACCGATAACAAGCAGATGTTACTGTAACACGCTCAGGGAACCAAGCATAAATATGACCCCTGACCCCGGCTGTCAGCTGATCCACTGAGTCTCTTAGAAATAGACTCTTCACTTTGCTGAATTTCCCCTCTTTCCCACCAGACCCCTCCCCGGGCCTGGCGCCCCCACCTCGGGTTTCTATGCCCGTGGCTGCCGCCCTGGCCCTTGCACAGTTGCGCTCGGTGTAACCTTTCTCTTCACGGAGGTCAAAGGCCCAAGACCTCAGGCCAGCCTCTTTTCTTGCTAAAGGCCAGCTGATGAATCATTCCCAACTTGAAGGGAACAGAGGAGCGGGGAGGACTCTGAAGGCCTTTTCAGAGAAACAACTGTGGCCTATACATCAGCATTTACACTGCCTTGACACTTTCAAAACTCACGTCCCTTTCTGGGAACAACAGAAAGAAGGGGGGACAGAGAGGTCTCCCTATCAGGATGGAAGAAATAAGAAGGAAAGAAGGGGAACATGATACCAGCCTTCAAGACTGTGTAATTGGAGGCTGTCCAGAAAAAGAGAGAAATGTAGGCATGCACATGTGCGCACGCGCACACACACACACACACACACACACACATACAATCTTTGCCCAGATTTCAGCTGGATCAGTGTCACTTTTTACAAAGTGAAAGAAAAAGAGAGCATGAACATGATTTTCTCCTCGGCCAAGAGAGTTTGGTCACCAGCACTTTGTTGAATGACTCAGAATTCCCTTGCCTATTATTTAGAAAAGTAACAATCATCTAACTTTGAAAATAGAAACTCTATATATGCCTCCTTTAAGACAACCCCCCATGAGTAGAATCAGCAGGGAGGGATGGGGTTGGAAGCTAGGATTGATGGCTAAAACACCTGGAAAGCATTTTGTTTTTCGCTGCTTTATTCACCCTACAAAGTTCTAGTTCCAGTTTATACTTTGAATCTGTGAGAAGTGAACCTTTACCCTGAAGTCATTCGGGTGTCTTCAGTAGCCTTACAGTAAGGCTAAGGTTTGGAAATACTTGGGGAGAGCTTAGAAAGGAGTTAATACAGGCCCAGTTGTCTGTTCAAGGCCCCCAAAATGAAAGGAAGTATAAGGTGCAGGCCAGGAATGGAGACGCGGATGTAGAGAATGGATGTGCAGACACAATGGGGGGAAGGGGGGTGGGATGAATTATGAGATTAGAATTCACATTTATGTGCTCCTATGTGTAGAACAGCTAGTGGGAAGCTTCGGTACAGTGTGGGGAGCTCAGCTCAGGACTCTGTTCTGACCCAAAGGGGAGGGATGGGGGTGGCTTGGAGGGAGACTTAAGAGAGAGGGAATCTGTGTATGCTGCTAGCTGATTCACAATGTTGTAAGGCAGAAACCAACACAACATTGTAAAGCAAGTATCCTCCAGTTAAAAATTTTTTTACAAATCAATGGTAAACTCAAAAATTTAATTAATTAAAAAAGAGGGAGGGGATGTACGTATATATGTAGTTTGTTCACTTTGGTGTGCAACAGAAAAAACACAACATTGTAAAGCAATTACACTTCAATTTGAAAAAAATTAAAATAAAACGTGCCTAAGAGGAGCTCTATAGGAACTGCACTGCTTGAACTAGAACTTAATGTTATCAGTTTTTTCTCTTGTCTTTTCTGGCTTATGTTTTCTCTAAAATCTCCTAATCTAGACAAAACACTGACCCTGCTATTACTGACTCCATATGGAAGATAGAGAACTATCACACTTTCAACTCTGTACTCCACTTCATTATATAGTTGTTCGTTTATTTTTTCATTCAATAGAAAAGGCACCCAATGTCTTTTAGTTGCTCTAGGGGGCACAGAGATAGATAAAACATAAACTTACCTGACAAGAGTTTGCATCCTACTGGAGTCGATCAGGCAGGAAAGAGATAAACATAGAAAAAGATAACAATGCAGGGTGTCATAACCGAGGTGCTTACCAACTTCTATGACAGCTTGAAAGATGGTATCATTTGAATGATGTCTTAAATAAGAGTTAAGAATGGAACCCACAAAGATATCTCTATAATGTTCCCATAGAACATAGAAAACAAAAGCATGAAGGAACAAAATGCATCCAATGAATGCCAGCATGTTTGATCTGACAACTACAAGAAGGGACATGGAGGAGAATGGCCAGGGAGAAAAGCCGGAAAAATGTGACGATCCCCTGGAATTGGGGAAATATGAAGCCAAAATATCTCAGTGGATTGCATGTCTTTGGACCTGTCAGAGGTTGGGTGTCCTCCAGTTCCTACTAGCATCCTAGTATTACTGAGATGTTTTTCCCGAAGGTGAAAAGTACTGCAGACTCATAGACTGAGAAGCAATTCACTCTTTATAGATCAAAAACTTAAATAAAGTCCTTAAACAGAATTTTTGATTAGCTAAACCTATGAGATTTCCCATTCATAAATGAAAAGAAAAATGAAGATCCAATCATGGCTTCCCTCCTCTTGATGTCAAAGTATCAGATCAGAAAGTGTGCCCTGTCATATCTCTGGGTTCTGACTCCTATACCAGGCCAGTGACTTTGGCTTCCTATAATGCTTCCCACAGCAAATGCTAGCATAATGATCTGCTTGTCTATTATGGCTCTTATTAACATCATTTATGGGCATCATGTTTAACATACCATTTTAAAAAATATGGTAGGTTATTCAAATCTGAGAAGTTGAAACTAAATGTACCAATGAAGTAGAAATTCTAGCTTAAAAAAAAAAAACCTGAAGACCTGTAATAACAAATTTAAAATAATAGAAATCATACAAAATACATCCTCAGACAACCATGGAATTAAAGTAAAATTAAAATAACAGAAATCAGTATTTAGAAATTAAACAGTAAAAATTAAACCAAATCCATGGATGTGTAGAAACCCATAATGGGTCAAAAAGAAGTCATCAGAAAAACTGAAAAAATGTTTTGAACTGTATGAAAATAAAATACATCTTACCAAAACTTGTAGAATGTAGTGAAAGCAGAGCAGAAAGGAAGATTTATAACATTAAATAGGTATATTTGAAGAGGAGAAATATCTAAAATCTACATGTAGAGAATGACAAAACACAGTGGGGAAAAAAAAAACAGAGATCTAAATAAGTGGAGAGATATTTTGTATTTATGAATTGAAAGATTCAGTGATGTTAGTATGTCAGATATACCCAATTTAATCTAGAGATGTTGGACAATCTCAATCAAGAATCAAAGTCCAAGCAAACTATTTTGTACAAACTGACAAACTGTGTCTGAAGTTTATACGGAAAGGCAAAAGATTTAAAATAGTTTATATAATTCTGAAGAAGAAAAGCAAAGTTAGAGGACTCACATTATCTGACTTGAAGTTTAATATAATGCTGTAATGTTTCTGAAAGCACGATATTTGTGAATTAGAGAGCCCAGGAACAAGCCCATATATATATAGACAACTGACTTTTTTTTACAAAGATGCAAACGAAATCCAATGGTTAAAAGATAATGATTTCAACAGGTGATGTAAGAATAATTGGCTATCAGTATGCAAAAAGTAAATAAGTCAATAAGTAAATAAAAAAGAACAGACAAGTCTCCCAAGTAGAAGAATTCCAAATAATTCATGTGATACTCCAGTCTCAGTGAAGTGGATCATAACTCTCCATTCCTTTAGTGTGTACCATGCATAGTGATTCGCTCTCAAAGAGAGTAATATGAAAAGAGGGGGAAAATAATAACTTTACA